ACCTAATGCCCTTTTTCTGATCCAGGATACCACGACACATTTAGTTGTGATGTCTCCTTAGGCTCCTCTTGTCTGTGACAGTTTCTCAGACTCTCTTTGTTTTTAATGACCTTGGCAGGTTTTAGTACTGGTCAGATATCTTGTAGGATGGCCCTCAGTTGGGGGTTGTCTGATGTTTTTCTCATGATTAGACTGTCGTTATGGGTTTGGATTGGGAAGACCACAGAGGCCATTCCCATCACATTGTATTAAGGGTACATGCTATCTTCATGACATATCACTGATGATGTTGACCTTGATCACCTGGGTGCAATGATGTTTGTCAGGTTTCTCCACTGTAAAGTTACTTTCTCCCCTTCCCATACTGTGCTTTTTGGAAGTAAGTCACTATGCACAGACCACACTGAAAAAGTGAGGAATTATTCTCTATTTCCATAAGGGCAGGATGTCTACATAAATTATTTGGAATTCTTCTGCACAGATGTGTCTCTTCTCTCCCACTTACTTACTTATTCAATCATTTGTTTATATATGTATGGATTCATGGATACTTGTTTTGCACTTTGGGTTATTAGTCAATCCTACTTTATTTACTTTGTTACTCAAATTGTTCCAGCATTGGTCATTGGGAGCTCTTTCAGTTGGCTCTTTTGCCCATTTAAAAACTGAATTGTTCATTTTCTTATTTAAGAGCATTTATATATTCTAGATAAATGCCTTTTATCAGAAATATTATTTGCAAATATTTTCTCCCAGTCTGTAATTTCTCTTATCAGCAACTTTTAAACCTACCCCAGTCTTGCCTATTTTAGAAAACTTCCCCTGGGTCCCGTCTCCCTGTCACCTGACTCAATCCTGGCCTCTCTCTTCTCTCTCTGCTTTTCCTGTCTAGGCAACCTCCTCCACAGCTACCATCCCAGCTCTGGTTACTATACATAGGTGGGACTACCAAATATATGTCTCTAACCCTCATCTCTTCTCTGAGATCCAAATCCAAAGACTCAACTGTGCACCTGTTATCTGTCCTTGGACATCTCCAAGGCCCCCTAAACTCAACATGTCCCCAGACAAGTTATAACCTGTGTTCTCCCCTCTCTCCACCAGACGTTTCCCTCCCACGGTCATATTCTCAGCAAATAGCACCAGCATCCATTCAATTGTGCAAACCTACCTCCCCTTACCCCACCACCCCAATCAATACTTCACCAATTCTCATTCATTTTACTGCAGAACAGAATCTTCCACTTCTTTTTATCTCCTTTCAGGTGCAAGCCCCAAACACCTCTCTGCAGCACCCTGACAGGTTTCCCTGGGTTCCCTACGCCCTTGTCAATGAGTCTCCACACAGCATCCAACAGTGATCTTGTCAAAACCAGAGTCAGGTCAGCACTCCGCTGCCTATAAGGCTTCATGGTCTCCATGGAAACCAAGAGTCCTCATTGCTGCCTTTGAACCCTTGCGTGACCTGGTCCCTTGGCCTCCTCAGCCCCATCTCCCCCACAGTCCCCCACTCCTGTTCTAGCCACACTGCCTTTCAGGCCCTAAACATCCTGGTGCTCCTTTGAATTTCTGGCCTTTGTGTGTGCTGTTCCCTCTGTCTAAAATGCTCTTCCCCATCCCACTCTGACCATCCCCTGGACCACTCACCCTTCCAATCTCAGCTCAAATGTCACTCCCTCAGGAAAGCCTCCCAGTTAAGTCCTCTCTGTTTCCCTCTTTTCTAGTACCATGTTCCTCTCTTGCCTAGCGCTTGTCTTGGTTAAAACAAGATTATTTGGGTGGTTGGTGCCTGCCCCCACACTGGATTCTAAGCTCTGAGAGGCCAGGAACCATCACACCTGTTTTTGGCTCCTTCTCCTCCTCAGTGCCTGGGATAATGCCTGGTGTGTATAGATGCTCAATAAATGTCCACTGAATAAGTGAATTAATATGCAATCAAATGCTCAACATAAATTCAAGTAAATAAAGGAAGGCCATTAATGAGCACTAATCCTGTTTATGAAAATAATTTGGAAAACCATTTTTTGCAAACACCATGCTGGTTCCAGGAGTTCATAATGCCACCTGTGACCCCATGCTATTGTTTTTCCCAGATGCTGCTTACCTCGATTCTCCCTCCAAGAGAGTGATTTTCCCCCGGGTAGAAGTGTACTGCCAGATAGAGCTCGCCATTGGCAATGAGTGCCCTGAACGCAGTCAACCAAGCCTCCAAACAGAGCAGGCCAGCCTGGAAGAATCCATACAACCTCACACACAACAGGCTCCCGAAGGGGAAGGAAGCAGTGGTCGTGGTTCACCTGTGTCCCCACCTGTACAGGCACCTGAATCCACATGTGAGCAGCCTGTGGAGTCACCTGTTTCACCACCTGTCTCTTCATTGGAGCAGTCACCTGCATCGCCACTGGCCTCATCACCACCACATTCCCCAACGGACTTGCCTCCTGTATCGCTCCCAGCTGTGCACTTACCACCCAGCTCAACACCTGCGTCACCACAGCAGCAAGTACAGCCAACTGGATCACCACCTATATCCCTACCCTCCCAGTCGTCTGTGTCACCCAGGCCACCCCTGGGGCCTTCAGCTGTGGGGGCACATCAAACAATGCCCCAGTGTCCTTCAGTATCGCCTGCACAGCCACCTGTGGAGGAACTGGGCTCAGAACAGCCCCAAGGTAGGAACCCTCTGGTTTCTCATGGTCTCCTCATGTCTGGGGCCTCTCTGCAAATGCGTAACAACATGGTGGCTGATAACCATTGCTTTAGAGGGCTGTATTGGTGAGGTTCGTGGTTAGCTTTAGCGGCTCTACCTGTTAATGTGGGCAGGCACCACAAGAGAGCAGTGTACTTGACATTTGTTCATTTCTTTAGTCCAGTGATTCTCAGAGTGTGGTCCCCAACCAGCTGCAATAGCATCATCTGAGAACTTGTTAGAAATGAGAGCTCTTGGGCCCTGCCACAGACCTACTTAATCCCAAACTCTGGAGGTGGGACCCAGCTGTCTTTTTTCACAAGCTCTCCAGATGATTCTTTTGCCTGCTCACATCTGAGAGCTGCTGTTCTGGTTGATTTTTATTGGGAGAGCCGCTGTGCTAGGGCAGCGCTACCCAAAGGGTGGTCTGTGGACCAGTGCCAGTCTCCTATTTGTTCCTAGTTCGTAATGAAATGAGTGCAGAAATTGAGAGTAAGCATTTAGAAATGTTTATGGTAACAAGATAGTGCCATGTTGTCCAAGCGTTTTCCTACTAATTCATTTGTATTGTATTTCACAAAAGTGTTAGTCCCTGATGCATTGTAAATATTTTTTAAAAAAAACACGTTGTTTGCTGCAGTTTGAGAAGCATGATTGTAGGGATTGCAAAGATGAACAGTTGTCAATCACTCACTCTCAGGAAATCTCTCCTCCATAGGGGATGACATGGGTACCAACCTCAAAACTACAAGATGATTTATTAAGTACTATGTAACTAACAAAAACATGTTGAGGGTATCCATGAAGAATGAGATCACTTCTTTCTGGGGGAATAATGAAGGTTTCGTGGAGGTGACAGGTACATTGAAACGGGCAGATTTTGACAATCACGGTCTGTATGATGGGATTAGATGGAGTAGAAAGAGCATTTCAGATTTTGTTTATTCTAGAAGCTCAGGTGCACAGAAAGGAAGTGCAGGATGAAGAAGATACCTGTTTGGCCGCAGTAGATGGTCTGGGTAGGAGCAGAGGGAGAGCGCCCCAAATGATGGAATAAAGCCCAGTTTTAGGGTCCTTGTGGTCCTGCAAACTTCCATGGTTATTACAGCAGCACAGATTAGCAAGCTTTTGTTCTTTTCAGATCTATGCCAAGTCACGGGTGACCCTTTCTCTGGAATAGGTTTACTTTGGTTCTTTTGATCACAATGAAACAAAAATGTAAGGACATTAAGAGTCAGAAAATTTGTCAAAGTGTTACACATGCTCTCTTAACTCCTGTTAAATAAAATGCGTTCATTTTATGTTATCACACCTGTGCCTAAAGGTAGCCATCTTCAGGTGCCTGAGCAACCCTGGGCCCTGAGCTGGCGTTCTTCACTCATACTGGATGTGGACAGAGGGTACAGATAGCATAGTGGTTCTCAACCAGGGGGCAGTATTACTCCCAGGAGATATTTGTTAATATCTGGAGACATTTTTGGTTGCCACCTAGTGGGTGACATCTAGTGAGTAGAGGCCAGGGGTGATGCTAAACATCCTACAATACATAGGACAGCCCTCCAAGGAAAAGTTATTGGGCCTGGAACCTCCCCAGGGGTTAGTGTTATCAGTCATTTACTGAAAATCATATTGTTGGGGGTGGGGGTATTGCAAAAAGTCCTTTAAAAATCTATTTAAAAAGGAACTGTAACTAGTTTGGGGAGATCTACCAGGCCTCCAAATGAAAGAGCTTCAGCTAGAGGGATATAAGTTTTTCTATATTATTTTTCATATGTATCACCTAATTACATATTAATCTTCATTTATTATATATCCCCATACTCTGATATGCAAAGAGCTTACTTAAGAACAATGCTCATAAAACTATTAATATTTTCTATTCCAACAACAACAACAAAAAGAAAAAGAAAAGAAAAAAGCATTACATAAAGCAGGCGATGAAAGGTTCAGACCCCTATGGGTTTTTTTTTTCTGAAAACTTTTCCAAACACAGGTAGGTGTTTTTTGTGAGGAACTTGTTGATAATATTATATCGAGGGTCAGCATCAGTCCTTTCACAAACAGCACTGCCCTGGGTTTCAGTCAAATCCAACAACATGGTTCTGGTCCTAACGATGAGAATTTGAGAATAAGAGAGTTCTTTACTCTTTCTAAACACTCTCGCTTACTTCCTATTGTTATATCAAAAATGGCTGACTCCCCGTACCCCACCTCCTCTCACTCATGTCTCCTGTATTTTTACTTTTGACTGTAGCTCCTCCTGCCTCTTTGAATCCAAAAAGCACCGTGCCTCAGGTTAATGTGAAGGAAACCTCCAGCAAGCCTTATGCCGTGTAAGTTTCTCCTTAATTGAGAACACGTTCTTTCCTTTGATGGGGGTGGGGGGCAGCTAAGGAACATTTTCCATCTCTTCAGCTGTAGGATCACTGGGATCCTCTTCTAGTTTGTGTGATTACAGTCCTCCCCTTTACATTTCACAAACCAACCTCCTCTTCTCTGTTCTTCCGGGGAGGTGATGTATGGGAAAGAAACCTATGCATGCTGACAGTGTCCTTCTCCTCAGCTGCCTGATGTGCACACTGGGAATGCACCTTCTCTGAACGCAGTGTGAGAATGTGTCACCCCCTCGTATCTTACTCTCTGGTCATGTCTCAGTTCAAGAGAGCAAGCAGGCATGCTACATCCTAGCCTTAGGTAGCCCCTGCGTGGTATGAATTGAGGGCCTCCTTTAATCCAAATAGTTTCCTATCAGCATGAATTGGAGGCTAATTTTCCTATGTTGCAGATTGTCCCCAGAAAATCTTTCTTATAATGCACATCAATTGGCTGGGCTATGTAACAGGTACTCTATTGTTATCTTTGCAGTCGTTATGAGAGGGCCTGGGGAATCTCTATATTTTTAAGCTCCCTGGGATCACATTACCCAGGCCTCCTTACTAGCTGGATGCCAGTGGGGTAGCCAGTGGAAGGCACCAGCAGGAGATCAGAGGGTGGACCAAGGATGTTTCTGCTCCCCGACTACATCACTTCCTGCCTTGGGGCAGCTCTGGCACTGGCTGGGTCTCTCTATGGCCACAGCTGCAGGGACTGGGAGAGCAGTGCCGAGGCACTCTTCCTTTTGATGTTCCCACTCCATATCATATCAAATAGATTAAAATATACCTGCTTCTTCCATGAAGTATCATTTTAATTCTAAAGCTTTTGAAAGAGTTTGCATAAATTTCATAATTTTGTGCTTGGGCATAAATTATGCATTTTTTTCTTATGATTTAAACTTTATTGCATTGACATATAACTGTATAAAAGTTTGAGTTTCAGTTGACTAGTTGGCACGATGTCACTCAGATAAATATTCATTGGTTACAAAATAAAGGTCGTTGGGGAACACTGATGCTTAGTCAGGGCTGAGAACCACAGCACTGGTGTGTCTGGTGCCTTCTGAGCTGGGGCAGGGCCCTGACACTGGAGGACACAGGACAGGCCATTAACAAACCACCTACTTTGTCTCTTTGCCCAGGGCGAACACTGCTGAAGATTCCAATTGGGTGAGCAAGGTATTCAAGAAGAACAAACAAAAGACAAGTGGCACCAGAAAAGGCTTCCCCAAACATCCACGACCCAAAAAGCCAGCCAGCAAAGTGCAGTGAGCATGACTAATGTTTCTGAATTCCACAGGGAAGGGCAGCTTTGGGAACAGTCTATAGGAAAATCACAAGGGGTGGGGTGGGGTGGGGGCTCAGGAGCTGGGCTTTGGAGTCGGACACACCCAACATAAAATCCCCATTCTGCCATGGTCTCACTCAGTGAGCATGCTTAGGACACGTGGTCTCTCTGAGCCTCTATTTCCGGATCTGTCAAATAGGGATAAACCCAACTCATAAGGTTGTTGTGAGTGTTTAATGAAGTCAGCTATGTAAATTGCTTTGCAGGATGCAAGATGTGCAATAGCACTCAATACTTAGTAGATATCATGGTTATATAATCCCAGACGTTGAGTAGCTAACTCTCAGCTTCCAGATAGAGCTGTACTAGAAAACCAAACTATCAGGTGAGTGCCCACATGACCCTCAACATGTAGCTCTCCTAACTGTTCCCACCCTACGCCTAAAAGCCCTAACCGAACCAATGTAGGCCGGCTTCTTATCACCTTTTTACCACATTATATTGTCATTGATTTCATCAATCAACCTTTAGGTATCAGACATACTTACTAAATGCTAAGTAGTCTTCTGGGTCCTGGGGAAATCAAAGATGAATTAAACTTGATCCCCAACTTTCAAGAGTTTATCCCAAACTAAACTTCAGACCAAAGATAAGAATAAAGCCTAATTTGATGAACTGTGAGCCCCATATAATCCAAGCCTTAATTTTTTGTTTTTTAGCTGAGCCATCCTGCCACCTGTTGGCAGCTCAGCAGCAGCTCTGCTCTGGCCGGGAACCGAACCGCTGTTGCTCAGAGCTTACACTCTTGAACGAGCTCTTAACCAACTGAGCCACTAGGCCGGCCCCTTAAATTTTTTTTTATTGAACAATAATGTTGTTAAAGGCACATGCATACATATATACACACTCGCAAATCCAAAATGCCAGCCTCAAACACAAACCAAGCAGGGTAGCAATCTACAATTATTCGCTGGATTAGCAAAGTATTCTCCGAATGGAACAGACCCGCGCTGCTGTTTAATTTGCTTCAAGTCTTCAGTGGTCAGATGACTCCCTAAATCATTCTAAGGGACATCCTTCCAGCTTACTCCTGCCCTGGATGGGAGTCCCTGGGTAGGCAGAGGGTTGTAGTAGTAGATGAGGGTCGGAGGCTTACCCTGGCAGCCACAGGCCCACTTCAAAGTCTGGGCAAGTAGGTACTTGGTGGGTGGTGGGAAGTAGTGTGGTGGGGAGGAGATTCTCAGAGCTGATGCAGGAAGTGGGGAGGCCCACATATCACTCTCTTGATTGAAGTATGGGTACTTAGGGTGCGGGACCCAGCAGGCAGTTGGCAGTCCCTGGTGGTTATTGGTCTCACACTGTTCCTTGGTGTCCAGCCTTCCCTGACCTTTGAGCTCGGGGTCAAGTTTGGTCATGAGAACATAGGCAGGTCTGCAGTGGGTATGGGGGAGCCTCCCTGCCTGGGAATGCCATCTGAGAGGCAGGTCCAGACTCAGGTCCCTTGATCCCCGGGCCAGACTTCTTCCCACACAACAGAGAAGTGGGAACTATGCAAGTCACGCAGAACTAACTTGGTCTAGGAATCAAGGTGCTTTATAAAAAAGCATGCTGTGATAAAAACAAACAAAACAACCGTCCTAAGGTGTGAGAGACACTATTGTGGGTGGGTCACACATCCTGTCTGCAGGGTTCCTTTGTAGAAAGGATTGTGGAACTGCCTGGAGGTAATTTACCAATTGATGATCTTAAGCAATTCCATATAGATTTACTGCTTCAAGCTTCAAAGACCATAGTAGGGGGCAGAAAAGGAAAGCTCGAAAAATGTTAGGCATAGAGAAGGAGCAGTGATCCAGGAAGAGGAGAAATCTGCCCATTTCCTCCCAAAGTACAATTACAAGGGACGCTGTGTCACACCCATGTGCTAATCCTGTGTAAACTCCTGGTCCCAGCTGATATCCCTGCCAACAAAGATGAGAAAGGCTAAAATAAAAGCTACGGGGCAGATGTCCCATACATCATTAATGTGTGTGTGTGTGTGTGTGTGTGTGTGTGTGTGTGTGTGTGTGTGTCTGAAATCAGATGTTTAAATTCACACTCTGATGTGGGGGTTGTATTAGTCAGCTATCACGGCTATGATTATGCTGCATAACAAGCAACCCTCCCCACCCTAAATCTCAGTACATTACAAAACGAACTTTTTTTTTTTTTTTGTCTTAACGAAAGTCTATGAGTTGGATGTGATAACTCTGCTTAGGTTACAGGCTGGGGTCAAGTCTGCTCCCCGGCCCTTTCATCCCAGGACCAGCAGTTCTGCCAGATCTGCTCTTCTCTAGAGCATGGCTCGATACATGTATCAGTATACCTTTCCTCTGCTAGTCTTGTCTCTCCCTCGTCCAATAAGAATTCAGTGGTCGCCTGACCCGGGTTATGTAACTAGCCTCAAAGTGGAAAGACAGATGGAAAAATTGAGAGACTGACTACAGGTTACAAATGGAAAAGGAGGAGGTCCATCTTGCTAGTTGCCACTAAGATCCTCCTAATTACTAACACGTCTTTCAGACTCCTCAACACGCCACCACTTGAGAGCCCCTCCTTTGATTTACTATGGGATTTCTGCCTATTCAAATGTGAATGTAATAATAATAGCTAGAACTGATATAGTAGTTACCACGTTCTAAGCACTGTGGTACAGAAAGATTAAGTAACATGCCTCAAATCACACAGTTGGCAGGTGGCAGAGGTAGGATCTGAATCCAGGTTGTCTATCACCAGCATCTTGATGTTGACCACAAAGCAGTACAGCTACCCAGGCAGGGTAGCCACCCGGAACTGGATTGAGAGTCAGAAGACACAGGGTCTAGTGGTAGTGTCTCCATTTGGGCAGGGAGAGGCCTAGAAGTGCACTTGGAGGTGCTTAGGGAGGCATGGCAGGGTGTAGGTCGGGATGCCATGCTAATGAGGTTGGACTTCGCCTGTGGTGCTGGGGAGTCATCACAGGGTTTAAACAACAGAATGACACAGTCAGATTTGAAAATTATGCAGGAATATGCAAATCCACATCCCAACATTTCCCTGAGGTGGGCTCAGCCGGTGTCTTCCTACAAGTGCCCAGAGAGGGCAAGTGACTTGCCCAGGGTCACACAGCAGGTGGAGGAGGATTTGGAACTCAGGTCTTCCCATTCCCAAATTTTGTCTCTTTTCTCCTCACGTGTGCTTTCTTGGCTTCTCACATCCAGGTCTGCTCCCTACCCACTCAACTTCTCTCTGCTCTCCACTTCTGAGACTGTTTGGGTCACCTACAGGCCTCATCCCAACCGGATCCAGGAATGCAGCTGCCCTGAGGTGTGGAACTCCCCAGGGTGTCTCTGGAGGACTGATACTACCTGCCCCCTGTCCCAGGATGCTGTGGTGACCCCTGAGCTTCCTTTCTGCCCCCGCCTGCCTATTCCTACTCACAGTCAAGGCCTACACTCGCCTGTGTAATGCCTTGTGCACTAAGAAAACTGCACCTTTTCCTTGAGAACTTGACTGCCAGCTGCTGGAAGATTGTCATACACTGATTTTGTTAGAACTGCTAACTGCTGGAGATCTGTATGAATGACAGATGAGGTGTGATAAAAAACTACGGTGTTTAAATGAAAAAAAATGTATTACAGTAAAAGACACATTACCATTAATCCCCCTCAAAATACTTCCCCTTGCTTCAAATACACTTACCCCATTGTTCTTGCTACTTTCTGAAGCAGCTCTGGAAGTCCTCTTTCGTGAGTATCTTTAGTTGCGCTGTCGTGGTTGCCTCAGTGTCCTGAATCGATTCAAAATGTTTACCTTTAATGGTCATTTTGACTTTGGGGAAGAGCCAGAAGTCACACAGTACCAGATCCGGTGAATAAGGTGGATGAGGACACACTGTAATGTTTTTATTTCACATAAATCACCATACCAGAAGCGATGTGTGACACGGAGACTTTCCAGTTGTGATCACAAAATATGGTGAATGCCGCTGCTGAGTGCCATCCAATGGAAAGGCAGGGATCTTCAATATGGGAAGTGGCACAGCGAACCTTAGTAATAGTGTGTGACAAGTTTCAGCTTGCTCGGTGCAGTCAGCTGGGTGTCAGCTACGGTTGAGAGAAGGTGTGTTTTAAAGTGTGCCATCAATCATCCTCCATCATGACAATGCTCCGTGTCACACATCGCTTCTGGTATCCGGCAATTTCTGTCAAATAACAACATTATGGTGTGTCTTCATCCACCGTATTCACCAGATCTGGCACTGTGCGACTTGTGGCTCTTCCCCAAAGTGAAAATGATTCAGGACATCGAGGCAGCCATGACAGCGCAACTAAAGACCCTCACGAAAGAGGACTTCCAGAACTGCTTCAGAAAGTGGCAAGAACGATGGGATAAATGTGTTCGAAGCGAGTGGGAGTATTTTGAGGGGGGTTAATGGCAATGTGTCTATTACTGTAATAAATTTCTTTAATTTAAACATTCACCGTGTTATTTGATCACACCTCGTACAAAGCTACTAAACTGTATAAATAACATATAGAAAGCTGTACAAATAACATATGACATATGTCCATAGGTACTGGCAGTGTATCCATGTACAGTGTGCAGTCTGCATGGCTGTACTAGGCACTCTAGAGGCCATTCCACCTCTTTCCCCTTCCTGAAAACCCAAATATTAGCCAGACTTTTGTCAACCAAAGAATGTTTCGAACACTCTTTTATCAACTCCTGCTCTGCAATGGAAGTCTCCATTTGCAAAAGACCCTTGTATAATAAAGCGAACCTTCTAACTGGTTTTTGCTATAAATCGAGATTTCCAGTTTCAGTGCATCAGGTTGTTGGCTATGATGGGGCCTGGCTACTTGCTCAGGACTGCCCAAGGGGAATGAAGCTTGAGGAACGTTCCCAGTGGAAACAAGGGAGAGAGTTCCTAGCTGAGGGACTGAGAAACGATGGATCTGTGTCCTTTCTCTAGGAAGCTGTGAGCCGAGAGAGAAAACTTGAGCTGGAACAGGAAAGAACCTGATGACCTCGAGGCCACGCCTTCTCCCCACTGTTCTCTGACGCCCTCCCCTTACCCTTGGCCTTTTGGGAACCAGAGTGACCCCCACTACCGAGCCTGTTGGTGTAGAAGGTCCTGCTTCCCCCGAGCGAGCGCCTCCTTGTCTAAACACCCTCTCGGCTTCCTGTGGTCCCTGCAACCCTTCCACTACCTTGCTCTGGACAGACAGATGGACAGGGATGGACGTCAGCACAGACTGGAACCAAAGAGCACGCAGCACCGCCCCCTCCTGGCTGGCTGGCTGGGCTCTCGGCCTTCCTCCCAACCCCAGCCTGAGTTTGCTCCTTTGAGATGGGCCAGATCCATCTGAGCCCCAGGATCTAGTCCACAGGGCAAAACTCTGGGGGCAGGATGTGGTGGTGGTGGTGTGTGTGTGTGTGGGGGGGGGTCAGGCAGGGCTGAGCCATGGACACACTTCCCTGTTTCCTGTGGTGTCAAGAGACCAAGTTCTTCTTTTGTTTTGTTTTTAATTCACACAGCATACAAAAGGCTCGACTGGAAGCCACTGACTCTGCCTCAGCAGCTCGCTCACTGGGATCCCCTGATAGAGTTGATCGCCATGCAGCCTTTAAAAGCTCCCCAGGGATTATGTGGTGCAGCTGTGTTGAGCTGGTCACCAGGGACTTCCCTGAGTCCTGGTGTGGTTGTAGAGGAAATGGGAGGACAGCCATCCTGCCCCTCTCCTCCCCCAGCCCAAGTGAGGGCAGACTCTGCTGTTCACACCGAAGCGAAAATGTTCCACGGAAGAAAACACCTTCAGCCTCAATTTTTCCAGCCTATCCTGAAAAAACAACCCCCCACTGCTTCCCAATATGCATACCCTCCAGCCCCACAGGCCTCACATGCATTTGTTTAACAAACTCTGGAAAGCAAAACCCAGAGGACTGGGTGGAAGACAGCCCTGAACTGGGTGGGGGCACCTGTGGATGATGCATACAAATTTATCCATGGAGGGTGGGGGGACTGTTATGGCAAGGAGGCCCCAGTAGAGCGGTGAAGCCTACGTTGAAAAGGACCAAGCCAGGGAACATGAGTCCCTGAAAGCCCCCTTCAGAAGGTTCTGCCTAGAAAAACCTTAATGTACCTTCAAGAGGTCTGAGCCGAATCAGATCTCAGGTGTGCTTGTACCCTCTGCCTTCTCTGACTCTGTGGCCCAGACCAGTCACAGGAAGTGCCCTGAGGGTTCTGTGGAGTGGCCCACCTGGTTGCAATCCTTTCCTCCAGGAGCTGTCTTGCTGTTTGCAGGTTGCTGTGTGCCCAGAGGCCGGGGAACCAGGGGAGGGAGGGTTTCAATCCTGCACAACTCGGGAATACATATGCCGTGGTGTGCAAGGGAGAATTGAACATGGTATCAACTGTTGTTTTCCCTGAAAGCCTGTATTTAGAGCCTGGATGCTCTTAGGTTACAGTTATAAGTATCAGTAAATCCCCTTGTATATTTTCCTTCATTTTGCTTAATTTCCCTTTTCCTTGAGGTAATTAAGAGAATTGATCTTGCGTTAGTTCCAGGTTTACCAGATAAAATAAAGGAGGCTTTGTTAAATTTTGAATTTCAGATAAACAATGAATAACTATTTAGTATAAGTATGTCCCCAGTAATGCAATTATCTGTTGTATATCTGACATTCGAATTTCACTGGGCCACTCATATTTTTATTTGCTAACTTTGGCAACCCTAATTAATTCCTTTCACCTTATGCCTTTTATCCCCCCACAAACCAACACTAATGGGTTGTTATTTGATGCAACAGTCACTGTGCTTTGAAATTGGGAGGTCTTGCTGGTGCCCAGGTCAAGGCCAGAGCACTCTAGTTTTCCAACCAAGCAAATGGTACCTACAGCCCAGCCCTCCCTGTAATCCCACTGACACTCTGAACTCAACCAGTTCTCGGCTGACCCCATTATCACTGACTCACCCCACTTAGCCTCCTGACTTCTCAGGGTATTAGGTTAATTATGCCCTGATGGTACTTGTCCACCTTTTAAAAGCCTTTCAAAGCAGGCACCCCAGGGCTCTTGTGGTATGAACTGAGGGAGGCCCGTTCTCACCTGGTGTCCACCACCTTATATTCTTATTGACACAAAATTCCCATAGCCAGTGAGGTCCATTAGCATCCTAAGGGCAAAGATTGTGTCTTTTACATCAGACTTGGCACATAGACGTTCTCGATAAATATTGGTTGAATAAATGAACTAATAGATTAGAAAATAATGGAGGGCGCTAAAACAGGCATTCTCAGAGCCGAGTCCTGGCCTGGTTCTGTCTGTAGCTGGCTGTGTGACCTTGAACAAGGCACCGCCCCACTCAGCCTTAGCTTCCTCATCTGTGACATGAGGATAATAATACTGCCCTCTCCTGCCCTCCTTGGAGCATTACAGCAAGCCTTCAAGGGCCAGGGAATGGCAGCTGGTTTGAAAAGAAAACAAGCTAGTACACAAAAGGGTCGCCTTCCCCAGGGAGCCTCTGGAAGAACTCGCTTGTTATCTAAGAGAGAAAAGGAAGCCTTCAAAGCCTTTCAATGGAGACTACATTTTCTAGACCCAAAACCAGGCACTGTATTCTGTCAATTCTATCTGGTTCTGAGTGACAGAGCTTGGGCACCAGAATTTAGGGACTAATAAGACAGGCAATATAGAATCACGACTGGTCCACATTTTCTTGGACGTACAATTAACTGTCACCTTAAGAGTCACAGAGTTGTAGAATGTCAGGTCTGGAGGGCATTATCTTGTCTCCAAGGTTATTAGCCTGTGGGCATCTGGACTAACAGCCAGGTCTCCTGATGCCCAGCCCAGAGTTTTTTTTACTGCCTCAGCAAGTTGGCACCCCAAGGATGGGACACCTAGAAAGCATCCAGAGAGAGTCCCCCAGACAAGGACAAGGAGGCTGGCCTAGATGTGGCCGATGAGCCCCCACCTTGCTTCCATTGTGAATAATCCAGGTGAGACCTTTGTGCAAGTCAGTTTCTTTATTTGTTCAAATAATACAGTACAAAAATGAGAATTAGATGCCAGCATCGGGAACTCATACCAAATACTCATACAGCTTAAAAGAATATCATTCCAAATCAGAAGCTAGGTCCAGAAGGTTCCTGACCCTCGGTTCAAAACGGATTCTGATCCTTCACATTTGGGCGTGGTGTTCCTGAACACCGCCTAAAATAAATCTATAAATAGCTCACCTCTCCCCCACTTCTTAGAAGCAATAACACTAAAGGACTTTCAGAACATGCATAGTCGAAATTCCTAAAACTCCACCTCAAGTCTGAGGCCAGTCCCATCTAAGCACCCACGTCCTCTCTGCTCTGGGCTTCTTGCCTTCCCAGTCCCATCCCACGGTGCTTGCCGCATGTTCAACACAGGTTCAATACAATGTCCACCAAGGGTAACGAGACTGAGTTTGCCATCCAGGTTTTCACACCCTCTCCCCTCTGGCCATGTGTTCCAGCCAATGTCCAATAGCCCTGTTGGGTGTGCATGTAGGTAATGGACACACGGCAAATTGTCCACCTGAACAGGCTCTTGAAAGTGTTCAGCTGTGTAGAAGGCAGAGCCTTTAACAGCCCACACCTTGACTTTGTGCAAAACCCAGAAAGGGGCCTTTTTCTCAAGACCCTTTACTGCCATCAGCTGGAAAATTGTCCTACACCTACAAATCCACAATGTCTGGGAAGTGAATGGCACTTCCTGGAGCATGGTGCTCTTGAGCAGTGCATGTCCGTGCAACCACCTGTGGTGATCCAGCATGAAGCCCTCCCCACTTCCTGAAAACTACCCAGATTGTAGCTATAATAAAAATAACAACATACATGGACATAGCACTGTGTCATTTCAGAACCCTTCACATTCATGGGTCTGGGGGGTATATTTAGCGGCAGAGTGAAAAGAACTGACTACCTCTCTTTAGGAAGACTTCAGCAACAAAGAACTGAAAGGGATCCAATGTGTCACCTAGTGCAGTCCAGAATCCAAGGTCTGGACAGGAGAGGGGACATGGACAGGTCATGCAGCAGGTGGACGCAGGTCAGCAGTTGGAGTCCTCAGTCTCCTAACGCCCAGCCCAGGGCTTATTTCTCCCAACACAGTCTCTGCCTCTAGCTTCGTGGAAAAATACTTTGTGCGTTCTCAGTCTCGGTGAGCCCACGACCATGCGTGAACAAAGAATGGCTGTCCATTCTTGTCTGCAGTCATATCTGCGGAGCACTGGATTGGGACACGATGAAGCATCTTCAGGGTCTCATGGCTAATGCCACCAATTATTTGTCTCGTTCAAGGGCGCTTGAGTGCAAAGCTCAGCTTTCAATCTGGACTTTGGATCCCAGGGCTTGTGATGTTCTGGGAGGAGAAAAAGAACATAGGTTTTAACCAGAGCCCAATTATTTGTGGGTCTCATTCTGATAACAATAAACTTCTCATTAACACATCAACACACCATTCTAGCTCCCACCTCCGAGCCTTCGCTCACACAGTACCTCCTGCCTACAGTATTTCTGGTCCTTTCTCCCCATCTACAGCCTCCCCATCCTTAAAAGTCAAAATCAATGCCTACCAACCTCCTGGAAGACTCCCAGAACCAACTTGCTTTATTGACCATAGTTACCACTAACTTGGCTTTTAATTGATATTTAATTTTGTCATCAGTAAACATTCTGTTTTTCTGCTAGCAGAACCTTCCACAGGCCCTCACAGCACACTATCGGTTGAATGAATACATGAATAAATAAGTGAATGAATGATTAGTAAAACCAGAGATTAGAGTTAGGGCTACTGAAGATGCCAGAACTGATGTTTCTGTAATATCTCTCGTTAAGAACTCCATAAGCTACTACATAACCCATCTTAGAGGGCAAATTATCTGTAATATCTCCATTCTCCGGGAAAAGACAGTGAGGCTGAGAAAAGAGAAGCCAAGGTCACAAGGGTTTTTCGCCAGGAAAACAAGCCAGTGTTGTGCAGAGCATTCAAAGAGCAAGGTACAAGTATCATGAAAGAAGCCCAGCTTTCTCGCAAGACCTAGCACATGGCTTCTAACAGTAATTCCGGGAGAGGAAGACAGAGCATCTGAGTGATGGTGACATCACTGCAATAATGCTCTGATTTCCCCGGGGGAACTATATGGATGTAGAAGTTCTGGTTCTGTTTGTCCAACACCAACAAACAGAACATTCTATTCCTTTAAAGTCACACCTTCATTCAGTAGGTTCTGCTCTACAGAGCTGGGTCCAATGTGTGTAAGCAGCTTATCCTAAGTGAATTTGAAAAGGGTGGGGAAAACTGTTTCTCAGAGTCCAGAAAACATGTGAAAACTCAGATTTTAAAAAAATCAGCGATTAGTATAATTTCTAAAGGAAACATCTCAGTGCCTTAGAGGAAGGGAAAGCATGAAATCAAATCAAGAAAGGCATGGCAGGGGAGAGGCTATTTCTAATCTATCGACCAAGGTCAGTGAAGGAGCGTTTCTGGAAACCTTCTAGAACCAAACAGTCCACAGATCCTTCTCGTCTAGCTCCACCACCCCTTATTTGATATGTAATCTTACTTTGCTTGGTTATTTCAATTTTATGACAGTCTCGAATTGGGAAGCCAAGCAGCAGAGCCCATGAAATAATAAGGGGGCAAGCTAAGATAGCCGCAGATCCAATAATCCACATCGATTTCAAAAAGCGCAAAAATGCACATGAAGACCAGAGCCAAATACAGAAGATGCTAATTATCACGCCAAGGTCACTGTGGTGTAATTTTCTCAGAAGGCCTCAGCAAAGAGGTGGCATTTGAGTGGGACCCCAAAAGTCCTGAACTAAGCAGGAGAAGGGAGAGAACAGTAAGTATATCTGTCATGACCACAAGCCTTTCTCACCTGCTGGGCCTCCCTGTATGAGAACTGGGGGTAACAGTGCTGGCTGTAGTGCAGACCCGTGAGGCTGAGGACAGAGCGGCAGTTTTTGCCAATAAACTTGTTAGTCAAGCTGAGCATGAACTGGTAGCGTCTCTCAGCCAGGTTCCTGTCCAGCTCAGTGGAGTGCGTCCCCTGTCTGGGCAGGGTGGCTACCAGCTTTTTGAGGGAGGAGTCTGGGAACTGGTAAAAACACTTCCTAAAGCTGGGGTGTCGCCTGATCTGGAAGCAGAAACAAAAGCAGGACATCAGTGTTGCTGGTAGTTACCCCCTCCCACCAATTACCCTCGCCCTCAACTCCACGCAGCAAAGCTAGGTGAGCCTTCTTATCCCTGGGACCAGCTCCCGGGTGAAATTCCCCCACCATCCACAGCCACTCAAAATCTGCTCTGCAAGGTCCAGCAGCAAATAGCAAGACAAAGTTGGGCGGGGGAGGGGGAGAAGTGCAGGTCTTAAATCGCATTTACTAGCTGTGTGACCTCTCTGAGCCTCTGCTTGGCCATGTATAAAATAGAGATAGTATAATATCCCCACCTTCCCTGATCACTGTTGGGGGAGGGGATTAAGTGAGGTACTTCATGTGAAATGTTTTGTGCAGTGTAGATGTTGGATGAATTTCAGTTCCCACCCTAAGCCTCCTTCTCTTAATGCCTCAATGTTTTAGGTTCGGTTCCCCCAGAGGCAGACCCAGAGACAAGGTCTGGGGTGCAGATCCTTTTTGTTGGAAGTGATCCCAGGAAACACTGATGTGGAAATGAAGACCTGGGACAAGGGTGGGAACCAGCCACACGGGCTGACAATTGGAGTCTAATTTCCCCCCTCAGGGCACACGGTGAACCAGCTCCTCAAAGTTCTCCCCTCCAGGGCCAGGGAGGAAGCTGGCGTTTGCATCCGCCAGCTCCCATCAGCCACTGGTTGAGGGCTGCTCCTAGGGAGATGGAGGTTGTAAATTCTGGCCTACGATGAGGGTGGCAAAGTGCACCTGGGGGCCAGTCTTCAGGCAAAAGGATACAGGCGCTGGCCATTGGGAGTTGGGCCGGTGTACCCTGTAAGGTCAGGCACCAACAGCGTCCGCTACACTAATCACTCATCTGTGACCTGCGCTCACACCTAATGACCTCTGCATATGTGACCTGTGTTTGTCTTCCCAAGTAGACTGTGAGGTTTTCAAGGGCAGGGAACTTTCTTTTATAGGGTATCTAGTACGGGAGGAAAGTCTAAAAGCTCAAAAGAGTGGGAGGCCATATAAAGGCTGAAGTGTGTGCCAGGACCTCCTCCAATCCAAATCAATCCAGACTCGGGGAAGGAGGCTTCCAGGGAGGTGGGACATGAGCTGAACTTCAAGGAGAATTTGGATTGGGGGAGGTCCTGGCTGGCAGGGGGAGCCACATGAGCTTTATATTATTTTAAACAAATCTTTATCTGATCTGCTATGTGTGTGGCATTTTCTATTATGCATTAAACTTTGTCAAGTAGGTATTTATCCCTCATTTTTCTAAAGAGGAAAGTGAGGCTCAGAGAAGTTAAGGGCCACGCCAAGGTCACCCGGGTACAGAGATGGGGATTGAACTCAGATGTGTGTTGATGAGGCCCACGGGTTGGCTTTGGGGGGACCGAGTAGTTCTCACCTGCTTCCCCAAATGGCTGTCCTCTTGGAGAAGGGCCACCAGCTTCTGGATGATCAGCTCCTCTGAGGAAAATAAAGACGGATTGAGGGACTGTTGGCAAGTTTTGCAATAACGCATCCATCTATTACAGTCAGCATTTTGTCTCTAAACACAGCACACAGATGAGTTATGAAGGGCAGAGAAAAATCTTCCCCAAACTATAACAGATAGAGCTGGAGCAGGAGCGCTTTGTTTGGGTTTGCATTATAGAAACAGAAGGGACTTTGCTCTGCCACACTTCACCTATAACCACATTCAGCTCCATTTGACCAATGGGAAAACTGAGACCTCCCAAGGTCCCTTCTCCAGGCTACAGAGTAGCGTGATCAGGAATGGGAGCTGGGATCAGGAGCAGCTAATCGTAATGCAGGGAGGGGAAACTCCACAGCTGCTGCAGCAGCCGGAAGGCTCCTATGGGCTAGGGCTGTAAACAGCGGTGAACAGGCGGCTGATTGTACCAAGAGTTCATTGTCAATATTCAGGAAATTGTGGACCCATTGTTACAAACCGTTGGCAGATTGAAATCAGCCGTGGTGGGAATATTTGTACCACAGAAACCTGCAAATGCTACAGGTCAGGGCTTCCCCCTCCCTCACTGCACCCCCACCCCCACCCCCATAAGAGGCTGTTTGCCGGTACACCGCTGGTTATGAGACCCAGAGCAAGCTAGAAATTTCATGAACATTCAAACAAACCAATGGGGTGGGGGTGGGGTGGGGTCAAGTTACATCCCACAGAATAGACAGGTGTTCTCTACCTGAAGAAGGCTCTCCACCTCCAACTCTGCCCCAACAGCCCCAGTTGAAAGGTCAATTCTGTCTCCTCCCTGCCCTTCTAGGGTTGCCTGGATATTTGTCAGCTGCCCTCCCAGTTCCCTACTTGGAATCAACCTGTGACACCCATGGGCACCATCCCAGGTGAGAGCAGGGTAGTGCTCACTAGAGTCACAGGCTCCATCCAGCAGAGGCCTCCCTTCTGGCTTGTGGCTTCTGTCCTGGGCGTGCGCTGCTGAGGACCCAGCTGGCCCCTCTTCTGCAGGTGAGGATTCCTGCAACTTGGGTTCCTCCAGATCTGAGGGCAAAAGGAGCTGGTGTGAGTGTGATTGTCCCTGTCTCAAATCTACAAGCACATCACTGTGTCCAGGTTCTGACAAAAAGCTGTCCAAAGGCACTGGCACGAGAGGGGTCCTGGTTTCCCAGGCTACTGGGTGAAACCCCAGGTCCCCCACCCGGACCCGCCTCAGAGGAGTTTGCAGGGCTTTATTTGTCCTCTCCAGAAATCGCATTCTTTCTTTCACCAACCCCCTCTGCCTCCTCTTAATCTAGAAGAAAAACAAGCAGGCCTGCCAACAGGTCCCACCAAGGGAACCCGTGTCCCCTTTACCTCTGCAAGGCTTAGCAGAGTCACTTAGCTTGTCAGAGCTTCACCTTCTCCATCTGTCTAATGGGAGTAATGAGACCGGCCTCCCAGGGTTGTGAGCTGGTTAGATGAGATAATAAGTGTGAAAGTGTCATATCGTAGGCACTCCGTAAATGTCAGGGGAATCACTGTACACCAGAGGTCCTCACGCTTCAGTGCAGTGCACAGACAGTCCAGGTCACATCCTCCATCAAACCTGGGTCTCTGTTAGCTTTCCAGGTGATTCTGATGCACTTGTCTAATGCACAGATGCACTGCTCTCATACCGCATTCATCTTTAAGTGTTCGTGTGTGTGTGTGTGTGTGTGTGTGTGTGTGTGTGTGTGCTGAGGAGGAGGGAGTGTGTTTTGACTGGTGGGTCCTGCCAGCAACTAGCCCCTCTCTCCTCTCCATGGCCCTCTCATACCTTCCTACTCTGCTCAGAACAGAGAGCAAAAGTCAAAACAAAAACAAAACGAGAGGCCACACTGCTGGCCAGCCCCTGTCCTGGAGGGAGGCTCGGGTCAGAGACAGCCTCTGTTACCATGGCAACACCAGGCCTACTCACCAATGCTGCCAGAGATGGAGGACCGATGGCTCCAACCACACACGACGGGCAGATAGTTGGGCCTCTTGAGCCGCCGGGACTCCAGGCTGGCAGCACCTGCAGCCCCTTCTCTCTTGGGCTCCTTGGAGCTGTGTTTTTTATGAGAAAATGTTTTTCTGAAGCTGGACTTTTTCTCTTGGGATTTCTTCCTGCAGGATGGGGCCAGGTTTTCTACGGCCACATCTGGCTCCTGGACTTGCAGTTGCTGCGGGTGAGAGGAGAGAAACTGAGTCGGGGCCCTTGACTTTGAAGAAATTGCAAGTGAGCTGGGGAAAGAGATCGGCATGCCCTGAAACAGACCCATCGTGGCCCAGAGGGTGTGGCCCAGCGAGAAGAGCCACTGAGGCTCAGGGATGGGAAAACAAGTGCAGCCTGCAGAGATCAGGGGAGGCTTCAGGGAGGAGACACAGGAAGGAGCAGGGCTTTGGCAAGATGCAGAAATGGGGCAGGGACAGGGAAGTTATCGTGCCAGACCGGGCAGGGTGACCATCGTGAGGGTCAGGGTCTACATGGGGAATGTCGTCCTCACCTTTTCTCCCTCCTGCTCCTCGGCATCTTGGAGTAGGGCAATGACCTCCTGGATAAATTCTTCTAAAAAAGAACAAAGTGGTTGCTTATACTCTAATGCTGAGGAAAGCTCTTCTACGGTCTGTCTTCATTTCCTAAGGCCCAGGTGGCTCCCTGGGTGATTCTCATGGGTCTCCAAGGTGCTAACAAGCTTGCATTTGTGGTTGTTCCAGTCTTGTCGCATGGGGACCCACAGATTCCTCAGATGTAGCCTGGGGGCAGAGCTGGTTTCAAGGGAACACATTCACTTATCCATTCATCAGCGAGGGCCTAAATGTGGGCCACGTTAGGTATGAGGAAAACAGCTGAGACCTGTGCCTCCAGAGAAGGTGTGCAAGACCACCTGGAAAAGCCTGGTCCCACAAGTCCCCTCACCCCCACCTTCCTCCTCTTCTAGGTACAACAGGGGCCCTTCTCGATTCCCCTTCAAGGTACATTTTTTTGTGAAACGTAAACAAGGCAGAAAGGGGGCGGTGGAGAAAGCAGGTCTTTAAGAGTATCTTCAGACACAGAACTGACTGTGATGATATGATTCTAAGCTTGGCTTTGCTGATGATAAAATAATAATAATGGTGACGGCAGCTACCATTTGTGGAGTTTCTCTCCTATGGCCTCTACTTCTTCTGAGGCTCTGCATAACTGCCACAATAATAATAACAATAAATGACAGCATTTATTAGCTGCTAATGGGTACTGCTTCAAATGCTTTATCGGCATTAATTCATTAATTTTGTGCCTCCAACAACTCCAGGAAGTTGGTATTATTACTATCCCCATCATACAGGTGAGGAAACTGAGACCCGAGATGAAGCAACTTGCCCAATTTCACACTGCTGGAAGAGGTCAGAGCCCAAATTCAAATCCAGGCCCTAAACCACACCATCTACTGAGCCCTTGCTGTGGCCAATGCTTGTCAAATCACTCTATGTTGGCCTCAGCAAGGAGGGCGTCAGCGCTACTGTGCTTTATAGCTGAGGCTCAGACGGGGTAGGTAACAGCAGTCTGGCTCGGGGCCTGTGCCCTGAACCCCACACTGCCTCCCCAGCCTGCTGCACTCAGAGCTGGGTCAGGACAAGTCACTGCCTCTCTCTGGTTCAGTTTCTCTCCCGCAAGTGGAGGGGTCATGCCAGACATTTTCCAAGGGACTTCTGAGAAAAGGAGAGGGGATACTAACTGAATTCCGAGTCTCTGTCCAGCTGCAAGTCCTCTTCCGGTCCCTGGCTTCCTGCTTGGGGAGACAGCTCCAAGGAACTTGGACCTCCACAATCTGTAGGCAAGGCCTCTTGGGCTTCCTGTTCTTCCAAGTCTGAGAAGCAAGAAGAAATAGTGGGTGTGTTTTGTCAGTCCGAGGGTATTGACTACTGCAAAGAAGTTAGCAGAGCCTCCACCGTGTGCTCCGTGCTCTGTGGCCAGGTCACAGTGGAGTGAGGTGGGGTGCGGGTGAGCTGCTGGGCAGAGCCGTGGCGCTGGTTTGCTGGCCCAGACCAACTGCCCTTATCCTTTGCACTTTCACACACCTGGCCTCCTGGGCTTTGCTCCCCTCAGCCCCCTCCCCTAGTACCTCACTCCTCCACCATCCTGGCTTGATCAAGGAGTTAGAAAGTAAATGCCTGATTCCACAGAACGAGTTAACACATCAGGCCAGAATCCCCTGCATGGATATATCTCCCATTGCGGCCTGAGATTTCACCACTGGGGATCTGCTCTTTGGTGGTCAGCACTACCCACTCCTTTTCAAAGTGTAAATTCCCCTGGCCAAGATGACCTGCTAGGCTGCTCCCCCCTGACACTCAGGATGATCCTTTCTCCCTCTGGCTCTGGCTCCATCACTGATGGGCTGTGTGACTTGAACACAATGTATCAGTACCCTCATCTGTCATAATGTGTGCTTCATAAAACAGCTGTGAGGACTGACTGAGTATAGATTTGCAGTAGAGATGGGTCTTATTTTACAGGCGAGGAGACTGGGGCTCAGAGATGGGGAATGACATCGAACGTACAGCTCAGAACCCAGGTCTCCTGCCTCCCAGGTTCCACTTCCTTCCTGCATGTGCTTCCCACCGCCAGGGTGTGGAAGCTGAGGCTGCGAGATGAGGATGGTGGGGGTCCTTGAATACAATGTCTACTGGAGGCTTAGCTGGGCTGCCTAGACGGTGAGGTTTCGTGTGTGGAGGTGACCTGCTGACATCCCTTTTCTCCTCCCTACAGCTCTCCCCACATTGCTCAGGGAAGAGCAAAAGTCAGAGCTGGGATGGCAGCTCTTAGAGTGGCCAATTCCAGCCCTGGGGAAACGTCCAGAGCTAGAGGCAGCTGCAGTGTTGCTATGGTAACAGCCTGCTCACCAACACTGCTGGAGACGGAGGGCCGATGGCCCCCAACACACAGGAACAGATAGCCGGTCTTCTTGGGCAGCCGGGAGTCCGGGCTGGAAACGCCTGCAGCCCCTGCTCTCTTGGGCTCCTCAGGGCCATGTTTCTTATGAGATTTCTTTCTGAGGTTAGGCCTTTTCTCCTGGGATTTCTTCCTGGGGGCTGGTGCTGGGCTTTGTGGAGCCACCTTTGGCTGAGTGGCTTGACATTGCTGTGGGGAGGATGAGAGAAACTGAGTTGGGTCCCTGACTTTGAGGAGAGGGGAAAGCACCCTGAGAAGCAACTCAATAACACCCAAGTGCTTCAAGGTGGCCCCAGGCGGGGAAGGCGACAGAGCCCAGAGCAGGGAGCTGGGAGGCCTTGAGGTCAGGTGGGGCTTGAGGAGGAGGAGGGGGAGGAGGAGGGGGAGGAAGCAGCAAGCCCCTGGGGATCTCACAGACACTTTGCTCCTCACCTCTTCTTCCCACTCGTCTCCCGCTATTTGGAGCAATCGCACTATATTCCGGATGACAGTTTCTTCTGGAAGAAAGTGAATGTACCTGGTTAATTTTTCTAGATGCCCAGCCAACTCTCTCTGACTGTCTTGGTCTTCTGAGACCCACTTGGGCCTTCCTTCTGTATTAAATGAGGGTCCTCTTAGAACAGCTCCTTATGCCACAGGGGTGGCAGAAAGCACCACATCCCAGGGGCTGGTCCTTCTGAGCGAGGGCTGGAAGGGTACTAGGCCAAAACACGAAGCTTTATGCAGGAAATCCCAGGTCAGCCCTTCAGACATTCAACTTGTCCCCCACTATTAACCATATGGGTCTGTAAATATCTGCTTTGGGTTCAGCAAGCTGTGTGGCTTTGGGTAAATTTCTTAATCTCTCTGGGCCTTCATCTCTTTCTCTGTGAAATGTGGGTCATAATCCCTGTTCTGCTTCCCTCAGAAGGCTGTCAAGCCATCCAATGAGGGACTGCGCTTGGAAATATTTTGCAAGGCTAATGCTGACCTTTCGACCTGCAAAATTCCTGTGGGAGGAATGGTGGAGACCTGGCCTAAGGGGAGGTGTGGAGGGTGGAGGGACTCCAGCCTGCCTGAGGCAGACTGCCTGGCACGTCGATGCCTCAACCACACTACTAAGTCTTTATAGGGAAGCTGCAAGCAACATTAATGGTTTTCCTTGACACCCCAGTCACCCCACACAAAGTGTGCCCAGAGTGGCTTCTGCTAGTTGCCAGCTGACCAGTTTCCACGAAAAGACGTGTAAACAAGATCCCCTGTTCCCAGGCTGTCTGCAGGCTTTTCCGCCCTTCACTTTTCCCCCTCACGTGTCTCTCATTTATCAACCTTGTTTGGCTTTTGTTTCTTGACTCAATCTACCAGTTGATTTTTTCTCATGGGAGAAAACAACTAGCATGTAAAAAAGAAAAATCCTGCAAAATAACCAACTGAACGCCTTTTACTTATTCTTTGACAGACGTATAGCTCCTCTGTTTCATATCTTTAAAAATATGCCCATTCTTTATAGGGAATTAGGTTCATGGGGCATTATTGATTTTATTAGGGGCAATAACAATATTGTGGTTGTGTATAAGACTGTCCTTATTTCTTGGAGGCCCATGCTTAAGTATTTAAGGATGAAGCATCATTTTACTTAAAATGGCCCAGCAACAAAATTACACACACACACACACACACACACAAAGCAAATATGGCCACCTGTTATCAATTGTGAGTGTGTGCGTGTGCATAACACTACTGTTTTCCACTCTTCTATATATTTAAATACATATAAATTCTATATCCCTCTATCCTATGTTTCTTCTATAAATTTAAAAAGACTTTAAAAAAAAAGTGTCCATGCACACTAACACATAAGCAGGAGCATTTGCGAGCAGCCGCTCTCCCTTCCATGAAACTCTAAAATAAGTAAATGTGACCAGAAGCCCCAGGAAGGGCAAGATCAATGCACGCATTTTGAGAGTGATCATCCCAGGCCTGAGTAGTCATGCAGAGCAGTCAGTCTCACTTGGTAACGGCAGCCTCAGCTGCAGGCAAAGAGGGCACTAAATAGATTCTGACTCACCATCAAGCTTTACGAACTCCTCTTCCTGAAGGTGACCAGTGGCTTGGGAGGGAAGCTCTGAGACGCCAGCACCCCCGCCTTCGATGAGCAAGCACTGGTGGAGATCAGACTCCTCTCCGCCTGGAATAAAGAGAAAAGCAGTGTGGGTGTGGGTGTGTCAGTGATATTCTTCTGACTTTGTTAATCGACACAAGAAAACGGCACAGCATTCACAGCAGGACGGCACAGCTGTAGCCAGCTCTAGGCTTAAGCAAAAAATAAAAAAAATAAATAAATAATCAGAAACCTGCCAAGGTTTCCATCAGAAAAGAGGCTGCCCCAACCCAGGCAACCTTCCCCCAACACACACACACATCCTGGATCTTCCTTGGGTCTCTTCTCCCCGTTAAGGACTTGGTGACTTCTGAGTGCTACAGGGCAAAGCGCCATCTCCCTCCAGGTGCCTGCGGGGCATTCAACTTCAGGAGGCTAGGAGTCACAAAAGGAAGGCACCTTGGGGGACCAGCCCCCTCATTTTACAAATGAGAAATCAAAGTTTCCAGAGAGGGGCAGCAACCAGCTCAAGGCCACACATCAAGTTTATTCTTGATGGAGTCAAGTCTAGAACCAGCACCCCAGCAGCTGGCTCTGCCTACTTCTCCAGCACCCAACCCCAGTCCTCACATGTGGACTAGTGCGGGGGTTAGAGCTTTCCTCCTCGCCTCCCTCCCGCTTTCCCATTCCTCCCTGGTTCATGCTCCTTGAACTAGAGTACTTAACCGCAACAGCTGTCATCTACGGAGCACTTTCCATGTGCCAGCTCTGAGCCACGGCCACCCCATGAAATGCAACTGTTATCATCTCCATTTTATCAATGAGAAAAAAATGGAGGCTCAGAGAGGAAAGTTGCCAGCCCCGGGTTACAGAGCTAGTGCGTGGTAGAACCTGGGTTTGACCTCAAGCTTGCAATCACAGTGCTGTTCTGCCTCAAAGAAATTTCACAGTGCTCCTGCCCTTGATAGTTGTCCCTGATAGTTGTCTCGCCTTCCACATCCCCTCTGTTGAGAGGTTTGAGGAGCCAGCTTAGAGCATCCTCGCCCTTGGGGGTAGGGCAATGGGGTTACCATAGACAAGGGCATGGTCTGCTTACTCCTAGGTGCTGGACTCAGGTCAGCCTCCTCGGGGCGCAAGGCAGCAGTCGTCTTAGGCAACGCTGTCTCCTGGCCTTTAGCTTCTTGATCTTGGGTCCCCTTGGTTTCCTCATCAACGTGTTTCTTAGAATGTTTCTTGCGCCTGGTTTTCTTGTCATGGGCTTTCTTCCTGGGAGCTGGCTCCCCTGGTGACTCAAAGGTTTCCTCCTTCCCCTTTGCCTTCCTGCCGGCCTTTTCTTTGGTCTCCTCAGAACCTGTCCTCAGGAAGAAGTTCATCACACTCTTCAACAACCCCTGCTGGCCCCGCCTCTGGGTCTTGTCCTTCTTGGTGTCCTGTGGAGGCCTCTGCTCACTGGGGAGAAACTCCTTGGTCTCCTCCAGGTTGAGGGCTGCGCCCATGGTGCCCTGAGGCTCCGCAGGCTGCGCTGGGCTCTCGGGACGTCCGCTCCCATCACTGGCCATACACGGAAGCTCCCGCCTGGTGTGGGTGGCGGGCAGGGAAAGGCGCTGGGAGGCCCATGACTCTAAGTCCTTCTTCGAGTTCTGCGACCTGTCCAGAGACCTGGCTCTCCTCCGTGACACAGACTTCTTCAGGCCCCGTGGATGCTCCATTGCGCTACAACCAAAACAAATAGCTCCCTTAGAAGAGGCCTAGCAGAGACGTCCCAGGTGGGCCAACAAGCTGACCTATACGCCCATCCATCCTACCCACTCATGTGAATAACCTCAACTCTCAAAACTGTCCCATTTTAATTCCTGAGTGTTTTAACAACACTGAGAGGCAGGAGTGCCCTTGTCCCCATTTTCCAGAGGAGGAAACAGCCACGAGAGGTCATGCCCCGGATCTCACAACAGGTCTGTAGTGCCCCCCAGAGCCTCCAGAAGTAACATAGCCCTGCCAACACCTTGATTTGAGTCCATTGAGACTGATTTGGGACTTCTAACCTCCATAATTGTAAGATAGTTCATTTGTGTTGTTCCAGGCCACTGAGTTTGTGTGGTTTTTTTTTGTTACAGCCAGAATAGGAAATGAATACAGCAGGAGCCAGAGGCCAAGGCCTGCTTCTTACTAGCCTCAGCACTTGGAGCAGCTCATGCACATTTTCTGGTCCAATGTCCTCGTCTGAAATGTACCTGAGACCTGCCTGTCTCTTTTATAGGCTGTCAAGAATGTTTCACAAGACAGCTCAGTAAATGGCAACTCTGTTCTTCTAATAGCTCAAAACAAAACTTTGAAGTCATCTCTGACTCCTTTCTTTCTCTCACTCCCCACACCCGATCCATCAGCAAAGCCTGTTGGCTCCGCTTTCAACCACATCTCGACCTCAGCCATGTGACCCCACCTCCTCCACCACCGCCTGGGTCTACACCCCAGCTCCGCTCACCGTGACTATTATAGTTACCTCCTAACTGGTCTCTCTACTCCACCCTTGTCCTCCTTACAGCAACTTCTCCTCTCAGCAGCCATGGGCTTTTCCAACATAAGTTAAAGCAGGTCACTCTCCTCCCTCCAATGGTTCCCCTTTCATTCATAGTCAAGGCCAAAGTCCTTACGATGAGTGGCAAGGCCCCACATGACCGGGCCCCATTATCTCTCTAGTCACCTCTTACTCCACTCTACTCCACCCACACAGCCCTTCTCACTGTCCCTCAAACCCGCTCTGCCTCAGGGCCTTCCCACTGGCTGTTCCCTCTTTCTGGAACATTCTTCTTCTAGACAGCCTTATCATTTGTTCCTTTCCCTCCTTCAGGGCTCTACTCAAATGGCAGCTTCCCATAGAGGACCTCGCTGTGCAACCCCCTACCACCTAAACCATTAGCACAGCCTCTCCCCACCTCACCTCACCATCCAGTGTTTAATTGTTTGTTTTCTGGGTCTCTCTCCCTCCCCGCTGTCTGCTTTGTTAGGCCTCGTATCCCAAGTGACTAGAACAATGCCCGGCACCTCAGGAACACTCAATAAGTACTTATTAAACAAATGAATAAATATATAACACAAACAGTAAATTGTGTGGTTAACACACAATAAATGTATCTGGACCAGTCCCATCTCAGGGCAGCAGAGGCCCTTCCGTTCTCCATCCAGAAAGAAGCTGCTGCCCGTGGAAAAGACAAAAGAACCAGCGTCCTCCTGGGCAGCACTTTAAGCGGCCCTGGGTGTGGGCAGTTAATTTGTGTGTCTTCAATCTGACACCCCTGGGGCTTTCTAATTTCTCCGAAGTTGTTCAGAAGCCCTTTGCCCTTTGGCGGAAGATAAAAGAAAAATAAAAGATGGTTTTGAATCCCAAACCTGAGCTCCCAGAGATTCCTGTGGAGTTCGGATTCATAGATTGCCTGCTCTAATTTGCAATTGTAAACTTATCGTGCATTTACTAAGTATAATTTAGCATATTTATATACTATGTATTTACAGCATATCTCCTGCACTTACCAAATTTAAAACGGACTCTATTACTACGTCCAGCTTAGAGGCAAAAATAAGAATCTATAATTGCGATTTCAGAGGTGGAGGGATCCTTGTGAATGTGAGGAAGACACATAAAGAGAGAGAAGAAAGGGCCTGGGGAAACACGGAAGATTTGAAGGTGACAGCGACATTCAGGTTGCCTTCCCTCCTTTAAGCTCGGATCTGAGAAGGAAGGACCAGGGAGGATGGCCGGAGACCAGCGGCTACCACCGGCACTGCTGGGTGTGCACACGCGGGCAATCTTGGAGAAGATGACAAAATGGACAGGGTAGGAGGCCGGCCAATCAGAAATCTCTATTTGTTGTTTAATGTTCCTTAAGAGGAATACCTGAGTTACTCGAAAACTTTTAGCAATACATGTCTGTGCCCTATATGGCAATTGAGTAATGTCCTTGAAAGCCTCAGGGGCTGCCTTTGGGTTGTGCTTCCGAAATACATGAGGAGAAGAAGTCATAGAAGAAAATAGTTTTCTTTCTTCTCATTTATTTCTTTCAACAAATATTTAATTAGCACCTACTCTGTACCAGGAATTATGCTCAGTGAACAAGGCTCAAGTTGCACTTTCCCAGGGAATGCTCTGGTCTTCTTCAAATGGGCAGGAGTGGGGATGTGAGGAAGTGGTGATGACAGTAGCCCTCTATTTCTGATATGTGCTCCCTCTTCAGTAGCACATGGTCTTAAGGGAAGAAAAATTTAGGTTGAAGTTCTGTTTGGTTTTAAAATCCAAGTAAGCTGAGCCAGAAGTATTGACTGTATGGTATTAGGGTTCTCTCTGCTTTTTCCATGTGTTCCTGTGTTCAGGGCAAATTGGGCAGGGTTGGCAGAGAGGCTGTTCAGTAACAAAACCACAGAACCAGCCAGACACACGGGACGACGCCCTTGTTCGGCTCAGCCCCTCTTATTCCTGTGCTAACTTGGCTTGAGGGGGCCCGAGGCATGGAGGGCCAGGGTATCCTTCCCCAGCTAATGGAAATAGAAAGGCAGTAATCTTTTAAAAAGCTGTCATTGCTATGGAAACCATTTTCACCATTGCTGATGGTCGCCCTGTCCTCCTACTGTATTCAAAGGACACGTTGCTGCTTCTAATCAGAGCATCAGTACAACTCCACCAGGCAATGATGTTTTTTCCAAAAGACTGCCTTGCTTTGGCCACCCCTCCCTGGAACAACAGTGCCCTGAGCCCAGAGAGAGGTGAGGGGCCTACGGGGAGGAGCAGCTGCAGCCCCAGAGGCGGGGAGAGGCGGGATGGGTGATGTGGGCCTCAGACATCCAAGACTATTTCCCGTGAAGAGAGACTCTAGGATCTCCCAAAGCCCCCTAATTCCAAATCCAGGGACCTCTTTCCATTCTCCATCCTCCCTTAAGTTGCTGCAGCATTTGATACCATGTCCACTCCCTTCTTTTTGCAACGCTTTCCTCTCTGGGCAGCTCAACCTGGTTCCCCTCCCACTCTGACTGCTCCTCCTCTGTAAAGTTCCAAAGATTCTGTCTTCCGACATTAGGCCCAAGGGTTGAGAGAGTATAGCTGGCAAAGGAAGGCAAACCCACCAACCCCAGGGAGACACTCTTGGATGAGCCTCCCTTTGGCCGATGTGAAGCTTGAAGTCTCAAAGCCCTGGGAAGATTGTGTTTCTCTCTCTCTCTCTCTCTCTCTCTCTCCAAATTCTATTTGTAATGAAATGAGATCTTTCTAGGCTTTCTGATTGTAAATGCTGCCTATCCAGAATTCATCAAAGCAAGCCTTTCTCTTTCCTTCCTCTTTTTTCTTGTTCTGTGCCCCTGCTTTGCCTGGGGTATGCCCACATTTGGCCAAACCGTCCAGGAATCCCACCCAGTACAGGACATACTTCCAGATCAGCAACCCCAAGATAGCAGCGGACCCTCAGTGCATGGAAACCCAGCTACTCGTGTAAACTTATTTATCACCTCAGCAGAGAGTGGATTTCAGAGCAAAGTCCAAGTCTGTTCAGAAATACCCAAATGATCTGCAATCACGGGACTTCTAATAATATATGACACACACCAACAAACTACCATACACAACACAGAGCTGACCTTGAGTTACTGTGGAGCAGGAAGTTAGCCAAGTTTTCCCAAGCATGCTGCCATTTTTGGTTTATTTACTAAGGTATACACTGACCTCATCTGTATACTATTCCCTAATGTATTCACCTGGCTGGGTTGCTCTGTAACTGCGCCCCCAGACGCTGTTTCATAGAGAGATTGTGTTACTCCCCTCTCCACGGACACTGTAATCCACACAATAGAATTTAGCCAATAGCCAGCTACTTCGAGGGACAATGTGTGTGGACCCAGAGTCAACACACACAGACACTTGTTACTATAGACTGAATGTTTGTGTGTGTCCCCCCAAATTCATATGTTAAATCCTAATGCCCAATGTAATGATATTAGGCGGTGATTAGGTCACAAGAGCAGAGCCTCATGAAAGAAATTAGTGCCCTTGTAAAAGAGACCCACCCAAAGATCTCCCTTGCCCTTTCTGCCATGTGGGGGCACAGAGAGAAACTGACTGTCTATGAACCAGGAAACTTTCACCAGACTCTGAATCTGCCAATGCCTCAGTCTCAATCTTTCAGCCTCCAGAACTGTGAGAAATAAATTTCTGATGTTTAGAAGCCACCCGGTCTGTGGTAGTTTGTTATAATAGCCTAAATGGGCTAAGACACTCATGTGTCGCAGAAACACGCACACCTGAAACTTGCATGGACTAATAACGCCCCGTATTTTTCCTACTCCAAGTGCAGGGGAATAATTATCTGAACATCTATTTGCTGTCTGCCCTTCCTGTCTAACTCCTAGTTCCAGAGAGAGGACCCAAGCCTGTGTGGTCCCCTGCCATACCCACACCACCTGGGAGATTCTTAGTGTTTGTGCAACAAATAAACGATACACAGATATGCACAGACAGGACCAGCTCAGCTGTGTGCTGCCACATGGTGTCCAGAAAGCCCTTTCATCGACATGATCTCATTTCATCTTGGCCATGTCCTGTGAATGAGACGGGCTGGCAGTGGAGAATGGAGGCACTGAAGGTAAGGAGACTTGCCCAAGATCTCACAGCCGGGAAGTGGAGAGAGTTGGGGCTTGAATCCACTTCTCTAGATTCTAAATTCTTTATTCT